CTTATATATTTTAAGATTTTTCAATTTTTTCTATAATATTTTTGCTGTAACCACCATAATTTCCCCATTGTGAGACAATAAAGGGGTTTTCTATTCTATTCTATTCAAATTACATTTCACTTTTCACTTAAGTAAAAATGTTGAAGTCATCCTTCTCACATTTAAGTACGATTTTAGGCACCTCTGGAAAAGACCCACTGCTTTATTATCAATAAAATCCGACCCAAATCTAGCAATACTCTCTAATAGCTATATTAAGCACTTTGGATATACTAACAATATTTATATGATGGATAAAAAGACTTAATGAAGTTAATGGAATAAGGAATTAAAAATAAAATATGTAGGGATTCAGAGTGATTACTATTTTTTCAGAGGAAAAAAGCAAAGTAAAATATTTGGTATATTGGTATAAAGGCTGTTAATGTGTTCAGAAGGTTGATGATGGCAGGTTTTCTTAAGCAGGAGAAAATAAATACATTGCTTGGCTTAAAAATATCAATCAGGCCCAAAAAAAACTATTCAAAACAGAAACATTTTATACTCGTGTTTTGGAAAATCTAATTCCCAAATGAGATTAGGTATAGTGATTACAAATATTTCATATCTGAATGTATTTTGTCAAATAAATCTATTCATTTCAGAACTACAAAGTTTATATAAGACTGTAAGAGAAAAAGCTTTTTAGGCAATGAAATGTAATCGTTAAATGATTCAAAGTTTAAATTCAGGTTGAAAGCTGTAGCTGTTCTTCCTGCAGTGAAACCCCCAAGGGTGTAAAAGAAAATGATGCAGGGTTTGGAAAATGAAATCATCTGCACCCTAGTGGTAAGAGAGAGTTAAAGAGCCGAAAGCAGAAGAATGTCGTCATTTTGGAGAATTTCCATGAAGCAACAGAGAGGAAAACAGCTGCTTCTGCTTTCGCTGGAACAGAGATGCAGAACAACACGGGTTCGATGTGAAACTCAGAACATTTTAACAAATCTCCTGCTTCCGTTCATATTTCTGTTTGAAACACAATCAACACTCAGCTTTAGATAAGATGAACTTTGGTTAATAAAGATTTAACAACAGATAACAACAAAGAGGAAGAAAGCAACTGCACTAACTATGGGTTTTAACTCTCATGTAACATTACCTGAACGGACTTTTATTGTTCTATCAAACATCTCCACATCTTAGATTCTTGTGAAAAGTGTTGCTCTACAGCTCCTGCAGATATAAGAAGGATAGCGGCCTATATTTCTGTCCTTAAACAAACCTTTGAAAACATTTGGGCTTGGTGTAGAATATTAAACCTTTTTGGTGATTTTCTATAAACATTATTTATCAATTATCACAGACAAATCATTAACCCTAGTTATTTTAAAGATTACATTAATTGACACATATAATTACATGACACCATTAACACTGAAAACTTCAGTTTGTCTTTTAAGGGCTACAAAATGTTTGTATGTTGTCATAAAAATGATATGTTGTAATAATTGTATTAAGTTGTCTTTATTTATTTTCTTTTTATGTTTGTATTTTAAAGTTCTGTCTTTGACATTAAAAAATGTCTGATAACTGTTTAGTGTTTCCTGATTCGTGGCTGCATTTCCTCATTTTAACTTTGCATTTGATTAGTCATTCTAGTAGTCCTATAGTTATGCTTATTACAGCTCATTCGTCTTTGGTCTGCTTGTTGATTTTGCCTCTCATGTTTCATTCTTAGAAGAATTTGCATCAGATTGTGTACATTTCTCCAATTTAAAAGGTTTGAATGAAATTTGACATATTAAAAAACACACTAACCGTCACAAGCTCAAATAAAACTTTTATTTGATAGTTTGCATGTGTATAGACAACTGGAGATAGGCAGCAGCACCCCTCGCAACCCCAGAAGGGATAATAAAATGGATGGATGGATGGATGTGTATTAAGGTTTTTTTTTACATGTCGCGCAGCTCAGTTGCGGTTCTAGAGCATATTTTCTAGTGGGTCCAGGGTGTGGTCATGCTGTTATGGGAGCACATAATAGCATGAATTATTGTTATGGGAGCACATAACAGCATGAAATAAAACACAGGGCAATAGGTTTCCTTTTTAATATATTAGACGAGTCGGGTTGCACTGAATGAAGTGAAATTTCCTTGCCATCTGGTTTAATAAAAGTTGTATGTTGTTCCAATTGAAAATTTATATTTTTGGCTTGAAAATATACATTTTACTAAATTTTAAAATCCCTAACAATGGGGGAAAAGGAACCAAAAATATTTAGTTGCTAAACAAATATGTACCTAAAGTTAAAAAAAAAGCTATTACTTGAAATATTATGTCAATATAAATTCATAATTCAGGAATATTACATCTGATTTACTTTAAATAACAGTTACCAGTTTTAATCAAAACAGAATTAGAACCCAAGTAAAACTGAGAAACTAGAAGGGCACCATAATGTCTAAGCCGAGGTTAAAAATGAACGATAGAAAAATATTTCATTTTAAGTCCCATTTATTTTTTTTTTCCTTTGGTTAAAACTCAAAAACATGAATCTGCATGTCGCAGTTTGTCCTCTTCAATATGGCGACCGCTTTGACGTATGACACCAACATGGCGCATTTGAGGGAGGTTGGAGGCGGGGTCAACAACCTGTTGGATTACGGAAAGTTTCGTAACGTCACGTTACTCGTCACGTACCTACGTCATTACGTCTGAATTATAGGGCAGAGGAGCAGCCGGTTCGGAGCCACAGCAGAGATCCAGCGGTTGACGGACACAGAAGTAACGGAGGATAAGCAGAAAGAGATAAACATCGGACCAGACGCCGCTTTTTCTGGACTTAAGTTGGACGCAGGGACGAAGAAGAACAGAACCTACGGAGTCCGAACCCGTTAAAGAAGCAGTAAAATTTGCGGTCAGCGCAGCTTTATCCTCTTGTTTCTAATCTAAACAAGCTGCGAAGTGAGAGGACAGCCATGATTCCCCCCCTGTGCCTCGTGTTGATGCTCGCCGCCTCCGTTCTCTCCGAGTCGGTGAGTCTGTCCACAACCAGCCGAACACACCTTGAATGTTTTAAATGATTAAACTGGGACTTTGCTTATTTTTAGCCTGTTTGTGATAAATATTTAGGCTTCAAGGTTTGGGAGTCGGACTCCCACAGCCTGCTTTTATTATTCCAAACGGGGCCCAGTTTAAGGAGGGGGGGAGGTCTCTACATCCTTAAACTGATTATTTTTACCGCAGTTAAACTCCTTTTTTATCCAAACTGACTTCAAGCCAGCGAAATCTGGACATTTTCAAATCGTTGCCAGAAAAACTCTGAGTAACGTGATGCCAAAAGGCAACTTTTCCCTCCTTCTCCAAACATTTGGGAAGAGTTAAACAGGGACTTCCTGTCTCCCAGCTCCTAAAGGTTGACTTAATCCCGAAAGAATTTGTGTGCTGCGGGTTTGGAAGCGCCACACTCTCTTTCTGTGCTTTCTGAAGCAGGAAAACCCAGCCAGTTTGGGGTTTTCCACCATTCTGAGCAGAACTGCACCAACAGGCTGAGAGTTTATGCTTTAAACTGTGGCTGCTGTTAAAAAAAACACTTTCCCTGCAGAACCTCTAAACATTTTCCTCTGATTTTATTCTCTGTCAGTCAGAATCAGGCAGCTTGTTTCCATTTAATCAGATTTTTAGTTCTACCCAGGTGGTCAGTGTCCACTCTCTAAGCTGTGGTTTCTATAAAGAGGTAATTTTTAGAAGATAATCCAGTAAAACCTCCTGTTGAGGCGGTTTAAACAGACCCAGATTCTCCATCTGTCATGATTTGGGCCTGATTTATGGAAGCACACAGAAAGGACCCAGCTGTTGGGATGGGTCAGACATCTACCTGTCTGGACTTGATTTATCACCTGGGTGTTGAAATCCTGGGAATGCCCTGTTGGACTGCAGCAGATGTCTTTACAGAGCCAGATGTTGATGCAGGTACCACCAGAACCATCTGAGAGTGAAAACCAGGCACCTGGAGGCACTGAGAGCCCGTTTGTCCCCCTTTATCAGCATATAGACTTAGATTTGGACAGATGTATTTAGTGTTTTTATATAGACGTGTGTAAACAAAAAGACTTTTGTTTTAAAACAGCTCTCTTGACAATTTCATTAATAAACATTGTGATATTAAGTCACTATATCTAGATATGGAATGCGCATCATTTATGTTTGCTTGGCAGCAGTGATGTCAGACGGATCTGGATGGGATCTTAGCATCCAAATGGGATTTTTATCCTGGTGGAAGAGGATCTGATGCTGGAGCATTAGGGGCCTGTTTCCTGGGCTTCACCCCATCAGATGTTGTTGAGCTGCTTCTACTGCCTCCTTCAGCTCCTGAAGCGCTCGCTTCTCCTTGCTCAGGGGAAGAAGACATCCGCCTTGTTGGCAGCCGGTGGATGGTGTGATTGGTTCGGTTCTGTTTGTTTGTTTCCCATCAGTCTCAGCAGGTCTGAGTTCACGTTGCCAACATGTTGATGTTTACACTGAGGGGTAATTCTGGGTGGCGGGTGTTGGTGTGGCGATGTGGGCCACCCACAGCCGGCTCCTCCTCCCACTGGGCCCGGTTGCTGTGCAAAGATGGAGGGAAAGGGCACTAATGGCAGGTTGAGCAGCATGCCGGGCGTGTTTCTCTCTCAGTCTCTAATCATTGGAAAGCCGGCAGGAATTTCTAAGATGGTGACTCATGTGAGCGTTTTTACAGTCCGTGATGTTCCCTCCCCTCCTCCCCTCCTTTCCTTCTCCATGCTGGAATGTGACCTTTGGTGATCTTGATCGGCCCTCGGGGGGATTTTACACACTTGGGCGATCTCAATAGGGCCCCGGGGTCTTTTCATGGGCTGTGATCCTTTCTGGATACACCTACAGCTTTCCCACCCAAACATTCCCCTCATCCTATTTTTCCTGCTCCTTAAAGGAGCTCCAGGTTCTGGCCTCCTCGGCCCGTCGCTCCATCATTTCTTCCTTTTTATCGTTGCTCTTTGAAAAGCCCCCCCCCCCTCTTGCCCCGGCGCCCTTTCATCACCCGCTGAGGTCATGGCTGGTATGTGGGTTCGGCGTTCCTGGCTAATCGATAACAATGTTCCCTCACCTGACAAAAGGAACGTGCTCTGAATGCTAAGAGCCGAAGGAATGATGAGAATGTGTTTGAGGATTAAGTTGGATTTCTAATCCGCTGGAAGCCAACAGGAAGTGTTGGAAAACCGGGATCCGACGGCGGTTTGCTTCGGTCAGAGATCAGCAGCAGCCCGACGGATCCTGCAGTCGGCCTCCATGTTTTCTTCTCTTGTGAGGCTGCAAGTCGCTGCAGGTCTTTCCCTGGAAGGATGAAATGGGGAGGGGTCGGGGAGCAAAATTATCCCTCTTTTTTAGTGCAGTAAATCAAAAGGCTATTGTCACTAATGAAAAGGAAACTTCCGGCGGCTTATTGAGGCGTAACCGACCAGTTTGGTCTTAAATTGGTTTTAATTGGCACCATTAATGGCAGCGCCTGTGGCAGCTAATCAGTGTAAAAAAATCCTCTTTAGTTAGAGTTAATCCAAACCAACCTGAGCCTGTTGAGTCCATTTGTTGGATCTTGTAGGAATGTGGCTGGTTTGGCACTCAGCCCCCCCCACCCCACCCCTCTGGATCATTTGCAAGAGAATGAGGTGGGTCTTTTTTTTTTTTAAGGGAAGTTTTTTCTTTTTTGTCTCCTTTGCATGACGGGGCGCTCTGAAAGCCGGCGTGCTGAAAGGACGCTGGGAAGGAGGGGAGCGTGATAAATAGTGGCGCTGGGATGTAATAATGGTTCCTGCTTTGCTGTCCGCTGGTCTATAAAATCCCTTTGGGCCGAGGAATGTTGGCACAGAGAGAGGAGCTTTTTGTCCTTCCTGGCTGAGCTGGCCGGCCGCCGAACCCGATCTCCCTCCACCCCTTCCAACCGCTGCATACTCTGGCTGCGCTGACGGGAACTATATGAATGCATTTGGGGAAGAAGGCCTTCTAGAACTGTTATTGGACCATATAAATGAATCCAATAGAACCACTGACCAGAACCAGGGCCTCAGAGCTGCAGCAAATCAGCAGATTTCTGATCGACTGTTTGACACCAGATGATTGGCTGAAATATTCGTGCATTTCTTCTGTTTATCGGCGGTGGTTCTGGTTTTTGCCGTTCTTAGCCCAGACGTTAAAAGCAGCCATTTTATTCTGAGCAACGGTTCTCAGCTATGATTAGATCCAGTTTGCTCGGTCTAATCCAGGACTCAGTCTATTGTTCCAGGCCCAAAGCCCGGTTATTTGCAGTTCCGCTGAAGTGGTCGGCTATACGTTATTCTGTGGTGCTGATCCGGACAGACCTTCCTTTTCCTCTCTGTTTGCCCTTAGCCCTGTTTGTTTACTCCACTCCGGTTCTGTTTATTGTTTGCCAAGGATCATGTGGTAACAGACCGTAATCTGGGTTCTGTTGGTCTTTGCGGACGTTGTGTAACAGAACCGGTTGCTGCCGAGTTCTGTGGAATTTTCCTTAGTAAATGAGACCCAATCAAATTAGTCTGTGTCTCAGTGAAAGTCCTCACACATTCCTCCCAGATGGGGCGGGGGTGCAGAACAGACCCTCTTTGATGTTTTGCTTCATTTTCAGGTCTTTGGAACTTTTGTGTCCAACTCTCACAGAACTCTGGCGATGAGGTCGGGTTCTGGGCCTCTGCCGAACAGCTGAACTCCAGGCTGTAATTTTCCAGAGCTCCCGGTTGTTTAGGTCCGGACTCTGAGACTGTTTTCCTGCTGGACTGACGTGGGTTCTCCGACAGTCGGTTTGCTTTGGCTCCTTCAGAGACGAGACAGGAATGTGGTGGCTGACTGAGCAGCCAAGACCTCGACTACCGGGCCGACCCACATCCAGCCACATTCCTTACTCGGTTCTAATCCACAAACTGAGCCAGAGTCAGCATAAAGTAGTTCTGGACCCACATTGCCTCCAGGCCTGATGGTCCCAGTACTCGTTCCTGGTTCTGATCTGGCAGAAGAACATTTAGCATCCCAGAAGGAATTAAATCTACTTATTTCCAGTGTGTCTGGACCTTGGTTCTGGTCCTATTGATCTTCTTTGTCCAATGCATATTTAACAGGAAGTTGAAATCTGAAAGTGTGAGAGAAGTTCTGAGTAATTGTAATAATAGTGAGTGAGTCTAACCAGGCTGATCCTCAGCTTTTTACTGGAAATCAAAGGCTCTTATTGTGGCGGCGCCTTCACTCTGATGAACGAGTCTGGAGGAAAATTCAATCGTTAAGCTCGTTTCCTCTCAGGATTCATATCCTGGAGTCTCTGGAGACTTTTGTTTGACACTGAATGGTTTTGTTTCAGACAGATGTCTTCTGCCTTCCTGCCTTTTTTTTCCTTTACATTTCCTGACCTTTAACGCCGCAGCCGCATCTTTCATCCTCTGAGCTCCTCAGCCGGATCGTCTCTGATCCAAAGCAGCCTGGAGCAGAGGTGTCAGATCTGAGGGATGGAGGCAGCAGGAAGAGGCCGAGCCCCGCTGCAGGCAGTCGGCTTATTTGTCCATCAGTCACGTCTTCAAGAATAACTGGATGTCGTTCTGTCCACCAATAAAAGCAGCTTGGGTTAGATCAGAAGCTCCCACAGGAGGCTGCTCATTAGGCTCATTAAATCAGAACCAGCTGGCCGCTTTTTAGTCCGACTCCTTGGACCGGGAAGTCTGGGAGAAAACTGCAGCTTCAGAAATAACAGCAGCCATGTTTATTTCTGATCAGACTGAGCAGCAGGTCACCGATTAGAGCTGACAGTCCTTCAGCCGACACAGAGAGACGCCTAAAAATAAAGATGGGGCGCCGGATCAGGACCACAGGGTGGTTTCTGCTTTCTCTGACTGAGCGTTAACCCCAGAGCTGCTGGGCTAAAGATAGACTGGATGTCAGGTCAGGGAACCGGTCCAGGTATCCTGGACGTTGTCAGAGGAAGGTGTTGTTGGTTCATCTAAAAACCTGATCCTCCTGTATGGCCGACCTTTGAGGCGGAAAGGGTCCAGATCAGCCGGGTTCTTAGGGTCTGACTGGACACCAGATTCTGGTCTGGTTCTGATCAGGGTCCGACTGGACACCAGATTCTGGTCTGGCACATGGGGCCGTTTATGTCTGGTTTCCAGGATGTTTGGACCGCAGCAGCGCCGCTCTTTGTTTCTGCTCCGGAGCTCTAACACATTTGGTTCCAATCAGCCCGCTGGGATCCGCCGCCGTGGCGTTACCGGGGCAACAGTCGCGTTTGGGCAGCCATCCATGAGCCCACATCCAGCATCGCTCCTTAGACTCGACCCGAAGCCCAGGAGATGGCTGCAGGTCGGGTGGAGTTGGGTTTGACCGAACCGTTGCAGTCGTTGATGTTTAGGAAAGGCAGGATCTGACTCGGAGGTTCTGCAGACCCGTCTTCAAACGGGTCCATTCAGGTTTCCTTTGTTGGATTTTGGGTTCTGCTTCTTGTCAGACAGAAGATTCTCAAGGATTTTAAATGGACCCAATCAGAACCAGGACATTCTGTTTGGGTCCTCTTGGGTTTTGTCAGCATGTGTCTGGACCTCAAGGGGCCTATTATGGACCTGGTCCATTAGAACCAGCACCCATTGGTGAGGTCTGATCCGTCGATCCAATCCTTATGTAACGGATCCAGTTTTCCCGCCTGAGTGAAGCGTTTCTGTTGGCCTGGAACATGTTTCATAACACAGTGGGGGTCAAAGGTCGGGAGCTGTGAGGGTAAACATTAACATGGAGACATTTTGAGCCAGTTTAACCTCTACTGGGCCAGATCTGTAAACATAGAACCAGTACGCTGTAGAATTGTGTTCCAAATCCGCTGGCGGTTCATTAATAGACCCAGCCGGTTCCACCAGAGCCAACAACGTTAAGGTCATTTTTTTTAAAAATAATATAAAAAGATATGTTCTACTCCTGTGGCGCTCAGAACAGAAAAAGTTGTTTTGATTCTTTTCTTAGTTCTGTGGTTCTGGTTTATATATAATATTTACTCAGAAATGCAGAAATGGCTCCAGTCGGCGCCGCCTGAGGCGTTTTATTATTACTGATCTGTTTCTGGGGCCTGAAAACCTTCCGGAAGCCACAGAGAAGAGAAGCAGACCTGAGGCCTCGGCACAGAACCAAAGCTGAATCATTCTGCGTTTAGTGGGGCAGGATTCCTGTGACATGACTCAGCAGACGTGTAGCGGCCTGCAGAACCACGAGTCACAGTGGTTACAGTCATTAGGAGAGCGGCTGAGGGGTTCAGGCGGGTCCAATCAGGATCCGTCTGACGTATCAGGAGTTGAATCTGGAAAGAAAAGAGCTCACAGCATCAGAACTGAAACCAGATTTATCCTGGTTTGGTTTCTGTCCGGGTTCAGATCCGCTGATGATTAAACGTCCGAATCAGTTTGGCTGAATTCTGCCTCTCAGATTAGCTGTGTATGAGTGGGGGGGTAATTAATCTGATGTTGGGGGTTAATCCCATTTGCTGATGGGATTAGAGGAGGTCGATGTCTCTCTGTTCTGTGGGGCTTTGGTTCAGTTCTTTTGGACTCTGTGCCGACGAGTTGTGGCGGGTTCTTCTTCTCTGAACCGTCCGTTATGTCCCAGCAGGTGAGGGAGACGGAGACGTGGATGCCCATCAGGACCACACAGACTGTCGCCATGACGACAGGTGACCTGGAGGCATCGGGGGACGCTTCCAACGGCTCCGACGTTGGCTTCTCTGACGACGAAGACGATGATGAATACGATGAATACGATGCATCCGGGTCGGGAGGAGGAGGTGGGTTCTGGTTCTGAAGCCGACAGCTCCTATTTAAACCTGTTCAGTTCGAATGTAAAACCTTGTTTGTTTTTTTTCTCTCCAGAACCCGAGCTCACAGAAAGAGAGTCCAGACCTTCAGTTGAGGTAAGAACCCTTCAGCTGGTTCTGATTCTGGGATGTTCTGATCCAGTTAAGAGATGAGTTCTCACAGCATTGTTTCCTCCGCAGCCTGACATCAACGATAACCGGATCCCCGACCTGCATCTCCCGGTGCGGCCCACCGTCAACGAGATCGAGCTCGTCAAGGACAAGAACGAGATCCGTCTGCTGGGGAACGAGCAGGGACCCAAGGACGAGAACCAGTCCAACGTCCTGATGTCCCAGGCCACGGAGCACAGCATCTTCAACAAGACGGAGGTTCTGGCAGGTTAGTAACCGGGTTTAAAAAGCCCAAACTCGCAGCGTTTGTTAAAAACCACCTGATGTGCTTCAGTTCTGACTCCCGACTCCTCGTGTTCCTCCAGCTGTGATCGCCGCCTGCGCCGTCCTCCTGATGCTCGCCGTGCTCCTCATCCTCTTCCTCATCTACCGCATGAAGAAGAAGGACGAAGGCAGCTACGACCTGGGGAAGAAGCCCATCTACAAGAAGGCCCCCACCACGGAGATCTACGCGTAGACTCCGCCCCCTCCTCCATCCTCCCTGACCTCTCACACACACAAACACACACACCTCAGCTCTGTACAAACCCATCAGGGCCTCATCTCCATCACCTCACCTCCCTTCAACAGAGTGACATTGGATGAGTCCGGAGCCCCCGACGACTCAACCTATTGACTGGCTCCTCCTCCTCCTCACACCTGTATGAAAATAACTGACCAATCAGAGGAGGGGAATCCTGGAGCGGCGGGATTGGACCGGTTCCGCTGCGGCGTGCCGTGTTTTTTTGTTTTATTCGGATCTGTCCTCGAGTTGAAAGGAAAAAAACAACAGAACGGACTCTTCCTGCTTTACTCCCGTTAAACACTAACATGTTATTTATTCACTCGTCTTCCTCGTCTCATTTTTCACAACGGAAAAATCAGACGGCTTTTATTTCGCCTGTAGGCAGTAGGTTTTCTGTTCTAGATCACAATCATGTTTTTTTGTTTCCTTTTTGTTGTTTTATTTCGATGCGTCGGGATCCCAGGAGGCAGGCTTCCGACTCCGACCCAGAAGTTCTGCCTCCGGTCCGACGGGAAGCCAGCGCGGAATGTGGCTCCGCTGCTGGGAAGGAGGGGAAACGATCACCGCCGTGCCTCCAGTTTGGCAGAATTTTTATTTTTTATTTTTAGAGAAAATTGTCGACTGAGATGGAAAATGAATTCCCTTCTTGTTCTTGGAAGTTCACTGAATCCCACCCCTCCCTTTACTGTTGCTCTCTGATCCAGATGAGCCGGCCCGGCCCTAAAATTACTGCACTAGTTCTACTGGTACACCAAGTGACCCGACCCCTTAACCCCCGGTACGATTGGCAGAACTTTCTGGAAAACCCTTCCGTCTGGTTTTGGTTCTGTTGTTTTTTTTCACAGTGGGTCGGACGGTTCCCTTCATAAGCTACACCGACTGTTTCTCTGATGGACCTGAGGATCCACGAGAAAACATGAAGCCGACTAAAAGAAAAACGAAACAAAAAAAAAAAGGTCGGAAGCTCATTTCTCAGCCAGAGACAGCCGGACCTAAACGGGTCCGATCAGACCCGGACGAGTCCGACGTGTAAATAGTCCTTCATTTAAGAGCAAATCGTATCTAAAGGTTGGTACTTTGGCCGCATCCTGGCAGCACAAATGTCTACCAAATATTTAAAAAGCCAAATAGTTTGTGTTTCCCGCGGCGACGTTCACGTGATTGACTGTAAATGTAAAGTTTTGATACTAACGGGCCTCCTGGTCGTCCTCCATCAGATCAACACCTTCCCTTTTTGTATTAATTTAACTGTCAGATGATTTTATTGCCTTCAGGTACGGGTGTCTGGCCCTTTTAAGCTGTTGTACATGTGATTTTAAAGTTTTATATACACTAGTTGGATTTTCAGAGACCTAGTTTTGAAACGTTTTAATTTTTTAAGAAGTTCTTTTATCTTTAGACTTTTTGTTGCTTTCATATTTATGTTTTTTGCTGTTTTTATGTGTAGAAGAAGTGATCATTATTCAGGGGATGTTGTGCTATGAGCCACGTTGGCGCCGGCGGACCTGGGCCTGACCGTTTATTTTTCTTTCTTTTGTTACTGAAATAAAACGCAGCAGACGTTGATGGAAAGTTCTGGTTCCTCGATGTCAGTTCAAGGTTGTTCTTCTTTTTGCTTCCCTAGAAATATTAATAATAAGTCCTGATAGACATCAGGAAGAGGAGGAGCTCCGAGATTGGGAGCTTGTTGAGGAAAAATCAAAAGCGGGTCATCCCCAGGTCCGGTGGGTCAACGTGGAGAGAATGTTCTGCTGCTTAATGTCAAACACCAGTGGGGCGAAGAAGCCAATGAATCATTGGTTTCTACATGCAGATTCTGATTTATTATTGGAAATAAAGCTATTTTTATGCACAGTAACAGTTTAAACGCGTCTCTGTTTTCTAATTTCTCTAATAACTAAAATATGAAACAGTTGAGAGGAACATAGACTCCAAACTGGCCTTTTGGTAACAAACCTGTAAGATAAAATCTATACTAGAACTAAAAAAGCTTCCTTAAAGATTTTTTTTTTTTTTTTTTTAATGGCTGCCGAGTTATCAGGATGAGCAGCTGAATAAATGGTTTAAACCCAACGCCAGAGCAGGAAGTCATCAGAAACTCATTTTTGACTTCAGTGCAGTTAATAAAACATTACATAAACATTAAAAGATAAAAGATTTAATATCGTCCACAGGAGATTTGTTTTAAAGAACCTCCATATATTTCAGATTTTAGGTTTTGAAATTAACGGAATACATTTGCAAAAACAACACAGGTTGCTGGAAATTTTTGAAAACTTTTGCAAAACATTTTTCCCTAAAAAAGATTAAAATGTATAAATCGACTTATTTTGAAAGTTAAATAAAACTGTTCACTTAGTTTGGTCTTATTTTTAGCCAAGGTGCTGAAGAGGCATTGTAGAACGTCTAAAGGGCCACAAGATGCAGCCCCAGAGGTCAGACTGTTTAGTCTGAATATTTCCCTAAAGGAAAGGATCTCAAAATCTTCCTCAGCAAATTCAGATCAACATCAGAGCGTGAAGCCTGGAGTTCCAAGGCAAACTCTAAAGGCTTCAGCTGGCAGGTCAAAGGTCATGATCCTGGACGTCGCGTCTGGGATGGATGAGACCAGAATGGAGATGTTGGATCATAACAAACAGCCATGTTTGGAGGAATCCAACACCAGGTTCTACAGAAAATATAAAACTTTATTTTCAGGACTGGACATTGATAGGTCTATAAACGAAAACATAAATGAGGAGAGAAGCCAGAGTTTCGGTATGTACTCAGGTGGATCAGGATGAAAGCGCTCCTCCACCTGAACAAACAACTTTTCCCGCTCCGCCTGTGTTTGTGTGTCTCTGCGCCTGGATATGAAAGCACGGTTGGGTGTGAGCGAAAATGATGCATTGGCGTGTTGGGGTTGGACCCTTCCCAGAAACGCTGCATTCATCCAGGTTCCGCCTGCGGTGGCCTTTTTCCCGGCAGGCAGCAACACGTCTACAGGTTCTGTTTGAGCGTCAACAACAACAAGAAACAGAAATCACAGAGGAAGATTTGTTCAGTTGGCCCAGCCTGGTTCCGCTCCAATGAAACCTTTAGAAATCCGGGCGGTTCTGCTTTCTTCCAGCTGCAGAACGACTTCATTTTTTTCTATTTGCTCTTATTTTACATAATTTAGTATCAGTGATGTCATGAAACCTAATTTGTCGCTTTATGAGTAAACTGAATTAAACTGAAACTTATACTTTAACATGAGATTCGTTTCTTTAATAGACACAGCCATTTAAAGAGAAAGGCTTGTTCTGACTGGTTTGTCTGTGTTGCTCCATTGATGACTACATTTTGTTCTTTTACCGTCAAAAACTTGCCCCTGTGGCTATTAGGAAATGTTAACCTGTGTTAGCTGTTCTCCAGACCTGCACGTCATGATTCATACAAAAACTGACATCAGAGTATAAAGACAAATTAGAGGAAGAACATTTAGAAAATATATTTTTATTATAATTAACCTGTTTTGTCTTTTTTTTCAATAACTGGTCTATCTGGTTGGTAAAAGCATAATTTGGTGTTGTTGTTTTTTAACGCTACTTTACTAACAGCTCGATTAAAAAATATCAAACTTTTCTTTGTTGTTTGCTTTTATAAGTAGCGCTCCCTGTGGTCATTAGAGGCAATGCAAGAATGATGACAGTTCTGCTTTCATCCAGTTCTGCATGGGTACCCGGACTAGAACAAAAGGGGGTCCAAGTGAACTCTATTCATTTTTTTTATTAAAATGCCATAAATAAATAAAAAAAAATCAGAAGAATTGTGATTGAAAATGATCGATGAAATGATTGATTATGACTCAGACCAAACCCAGGTTTCTGCTCGGCCATGTCCTGCCACACCGTGACCGCTGATCTCTATGTCCACCCTAACACCTAAACCCCTCAATCACTATTTAGTATAAGGGACTTTATAGTGATCTCAGTTAACTGACCATTCAGACAGATGATCACTATTTTTCGCTCCCCGTCACGTAACTACGCCTACCCGCACGGTGCCTGCACCATCTTTGTTATTAGTTGCAGATGTGGGCTTTCTCAGTGTGGAGCCCAAACTCTTGGGGAAAGTTGATCCAAACCTCCTGTTTGAAACCCAGCTCAGTTTGTAACTCAGTTGATCCTTCCAGGGAGAGAAGGTCAGAAAAATCCAGTTTGCAGGATGACTTCCTGCTGAGAGGCAAAAGACAAACAATGTTAAAACTCAGGTTGACAAGAACTCAGTTTTATTCAGCAAAACTCTGCTTGGCTAGAGTACCCAAAACTGGCAAACACTCTGGCGTCGAGGTAGTGGCAGTCAGCAGCTTAAGAGCACTCGAAGTAACCATCAGCAGGTGTGTGAGGAGGCGGACCAGAACCAGGCGCCTCCTGGTGGAGGAAGGGAGACAACCACAGAAACACAAACAGACAGACAGGAGTCCTGACACTTTTCAAGATGCATTGTGGGAAATTTTGAGTCCACTACTTTTTCATCCACTAGCCATTCGGACGCTCATCTAAAATGGCGAAACCACTTTATAGTGCCCTATACAGTGGTTAGAGCGGACATTCGGACACAGCCTATTTATTCACTGGATAGCCGATAGGCCGAAAAAATTGAAATCCCTTGCTGCCATCTTGGTACTCGCTACTCTCACGGAGTGGCTCCATAAAAATGCCATGCACAAGTTACAGTGTTTGCCGTGAACGCGCAAGTTAGTAAGTACGGCTATAGAGGGCAGTGGATAGACAGCTAGTGCCCTTTTACTGGCTGGACCAAACATCACTATGCTTTATGTGGACGAACAACTGCAGCACACCGGTGATATAGAGCCTGATCTACAGGTACTCGCTATGTGGGGGAGGGGTGAAAGAAACATTGCAAAGACATACTTCCTGACTCTGATTGTCAGGAGATTGGATGTTGTAGATCGGCCTGTTTTTCAGTGTAGTCCTGTTTCTCTGACTGTGACTGGCTGGATGTGCAGTCCTCATCCTCTGACATGGGAGCTGGCTCAGAGCTCGTCTGCCTGGCTGTGTGTTTCCTGGACGGGGCCGCCTGTT